TTTCTTCGTGGACCGCGGCGACGACATGAAGGCAGGATAGTATCCTGCCTTCATGTCGTCCTGTATACCATCTTGGAAACTTTGTACTGCTGCAGGTTTGGGTGCCACCACATGGAATCGAAGGGCGTTGAAAAAACTCTCGCCCACGTGGCATGGAAGGGCGTTGAGTACCTGAAGAAGACGTCAACAGCACAGAGAAATCAACGCCCTCGCCAACCTCAGGTATCGAATTACGGTCCTGTGGCAGGACCTCTCGATGGCGCTCGTCGAGAAGGCTGTGGCGGAGTATCATGACAGTGTACTATGTGCTGTTGAATATGATAGTGTTCCAGTTCCCCCCCCTGTAGTCAGTTTCCTGAGGATATTGCCAGTTCTGCCTAATAAAGGAGAGGGGAGGAGGAGCTTCCCAGCAGTTTCCAGAAGTTTACTTATAATCATAAGATTGCAACTAATTTGTTAGTGGCGATCTCTTCCCCACTGTAAAGGAATTCATGAACAAAAAATAAGAACAATTACAATGTTTTCAGTACAAATGTTTTCAATGAAGTTGAATCGGTAAGCAGCTTTATTCCTCACCACCTTCTCACTGAAAGCGCACCGGCTAAGAGAGGTTATAGTTACCTCATAGGAAAGGGACGCGAAAATAAACGTTTTCCTGAATAAACGCCCAAAAAATCCCCAGACAGAGAATAATTCTCTATCAATGGACGCATAAAATCTGTGTTCTGCATACAAAATCAGTATTTACATGACCATATGATTAATTGTGCGCATTGTTTATTCAATGGTCACTTCGTTCTGAGCAGCCGTGGTCAGCAGGTTTGTGATCATAATGGTACAGTAGCCTTTGCGGCATTCCTCAAATTTATTATATTATGATAATCTACATTTGAAAATGTCACCAGTCGTAGGAGGTTCTGCTTGAGTGCTGTACGTGACTGGCTAGCAGATCCGATCGTAGGAGCTTGTAGGTTGATAACATTTTGACATTTACGTTTTGAAGTACGTCTTTGGCAGATGTGATGGACATGTGCGTCAACTGATTTGGATATCTCGGCCTCCTAATTTTTAGGTTTTAATTAGGCCTGCGCCCCGACATGGATCGCTTTTTCCGGAGGCGCACATTCGGACGCAACGCTATAAAGAAGCTCGTGTTGTTCGCGAAAAAGCACTTGTAGATGAAGAAGACGGCTTCCCTGATCCTTCGGGAGCACTCGAACACATGAGCAGCCTGCTTCATCCCCCAAATTCGAATTCTTCGGAGGACGTCGCGGTACTCGCCGGCGAGACTCCAGCTTTTTCATCACCTGCCTACCAACTTCCTCCTTTCCAGTCCAGTATTTCATTCCAAAAATTTTCCGTCGAGCGGCGGGGGGGGGGGGGTGGGAGAAGGGTATATAGCCAGGTGTGAAACAGGAGAATTTACCCAACTTCCTACCATTTTTTCCGAATCCCGGAAATTTTCCTACTTTTCCACTAAAATTTTGCCGTCGAGCGGGGGGGGTAATCAGTCGCACATGAGCAGGAAAAATCACGCAGAGTCAGCAACCGGAAAACCAATGCACAAATTTCTCTCAAAGGCACATACGACCCCCCTCCCAACGACCAAATACGACTCCCTTCCCAGAGAAGAAGTAGGACCTCCTCTTATGCGTTTCACACAACGATGCTGTACCCTGAGTGCTGAGCACGCTCGCTTAGGGAAACTTCTTGGTCAGCAGATAAACAGAGGCCCTCAGGTCCATCAAATAAAGACAATATAAGTGAAGTCACAACCCCTAGGTGCTGTACAAGACATATCCGGCCATCTCAGTTTCGGTAGGTGAAAATGTAAATTGTCACACGAGTAAAATGCATAATTATGTTATAATATCTAAATAATACCAAATAAAGTAATTATTTACATACAAGTATTGTAAAAATTAATACCTATTTTACTGAGAAAAGCTGGGCGTCGACCATACTCCACGAATGAACCTCTCAAGGAAGGAAAGCAGTCTCTGCACGTGCCTGCGCTGCGATTTGAGCGCAAAATAGGGACGGGGAGTTGACTGTTGACGAGGGGGAATCGCGTTGCATTTTCCGAGCTTAATCACTTTTCCAGGAGAAGGGCCCTTGGGAAATGAAAGACAACATATTAATGTCATCTCTGTACTGTTCCATTTTCTACCTGCCTGCATTCTGTATCTTGCCCCTTTCATGAAATATTTCGGATGGGTTAGGGGTGAATCGGGAGGGGAAATCATGCCTCGGACGAGAATAGCTTCCTTCACACGCAATTTTCCCACATATAAAACCTATATCATAACGTTCCACTTCTTCTCTTTCCAACAGGCTCTACAGTTCTCCTGAACACCCGCTGGTACAGAAGATATTTTAGATGGATTACCCTCGCGCGAGGTCCTTAACCACACAAAAGCTTACTCTCTCTGTGCCATTGTAAGGATACTCATTCGCGAACTTAGAATGCCCTCAAAACACATATTACCGTTGAACTGAGTCAAAGCATAATTTGCTTGTCATCGATCGATTTGGTCCGAGTGTGCGCCGTGCATTACGCTTCTACGCAGAGGTGGTGGAAAGGTGTAACTTCTAAGAACAGGTGATTTTGTCTAGGCAAGAATATGTTCGTTCAGGATTTGTAAAGGTCGAAGTTGGCGTTAAGTATTGATTACTAATCAGCTGTTCTAATATTTCGTAGTCGCCTCTACATCCGGGTCTTCTGCAGCTTCCCGTCCGCGCCATTTGATTTAGCGTTGCCACTTTTGTGCTGTTTGGTGCTCACCGACCTTGCGTTTACTACCCCCCCCCCTTCTTCTGCGGCCAAGTACGACCCCTATGGATTCACACAACGATGCTGTACCCTGTTTGGCAGTTACCACGCATTCTCACTCAACACTCACCATTCTCTCACGCTGGTGGGGAAATTGTGCTGTAGTGCGACTTTCGAGGGGTCGAATTGCACCATATTGATTACCAGTACAATCAATGTTTTTTCAAATGGGAACAGAGCCGTTTATCCGACAGTCCTTTCATAAAGTGTAATCAAACGTATTTGAACAACGGTCACCGATGCCTCCAATTCGAAACTATTGCCTACATTCTCACTGCTTCCAACGCGTTACTGGTAACTTGTCACTGTCCACTGAATTCTCTTTTACCTTTTGGGAACATTTTCTTTTGCAACCTTAGCGCCATCTCTTGATTTCATATTCTTCTTCGTATGTTGATGTATGAAAAGCTGAATAACCAGAGCCACTCCCAGGATAAAATCACTCGATGTTACCTTGAAGAGTCACATATTCCACTCCTGGTATAAGCCCTGTTAGCTCTGGGTATGTCTTTAGCCTATACAGAATTGCAGGATGAGACGATCTAAGATTCATACATCCATTCTCGTAGATGGGACTAGTATCAGTAGAAGGCAATTCTGGTAAAGTGTGCTTAAGCAAAGAGATAGTGCCGAGATCCTTTCCTACGGAAGGTGGCCCGTTCTGCAATCGCAGCAATTCTACCCAGAGGACAGCATCGTGATGTGTGAACCGGGGACATCATTGTGAGGTCCGTGTAACTCACCCCCTCCCAACAAATTTTATGCTCTGCACACCTCTTCTTTCCCACCCTACTGACTGTCTACCTAAATTTCCTCAACATCCTACCACCTGTTCTTGGGGAGGCAAGGCCAGTGAGGCCGCACCGCTCACGTCGCGTGCGGCGGGTGGCTCGGCAATGTCAGATTTGCACTACTGCACAATCATGATGGTGCAATGAATAGAGCGTGCGACGTGGCGCGTGATGCATCAAAGCCAGAGCGCCTTTTTACCGTCAGTAATACCATCCAGGATCAACTACAACTGGTGGGAAGTCTAATTTGGCTGCGAGACAAGCTGTGCCCTCGTCAGATGCCCTGCCGTTTGCAGTGTTCATGACTGTATCTCCGCTAGTTGTTATTGGAATAGGTAGGGATATACCCTTACCCGCGACGGGTTTTTAGTAACAGCAATGGGGATTCCTTTTATAAATAAAGCGATGAGACAACGCGGCTCATACACAAGGGATGTGCCGTTGCACGCCACCGGTTCACTTCCGCGACCAGCCACTAAAATCGCCACACACCGTTTTCTTAGGTTTTGGGCAAGTGACCAGCAATCAGAGGGCTGTATGTATCGAGCATAAGACCGGGAAAGTCGCGAAAAAACGTTAATCAAAAAAATTTTGCTCGAAAATTTCTAAGGCCGGATGCGCACTGTTTGCCCTCAGCTACCAGGTGCGATCCGTCTGATGGAATTCTCTCCACGATGCTGTACCCTGATTACACATTCGCGGTTTGAAAATGACTGAAGGAGGCGCCGAGGGCACCATTCGCCCACGAAACTACGACTCTAGTTGACAGCTCCGCCTAGAGATGAACCGCGTCGCGTTCATGTCTGTGTTATGACCGCTACATGAAAGAGTTCGTGTCTGTCTCCTCTGTCTCCTCCTGCAAAGATTTAGGAACCGCAAAAGAATCCAACTATTTAGTCTGCTTCTCTTCACTGGCAGTCAACCAGTGTCTACCAGTACCAGAATGAATTTTGAATCTTGATCAATCTCGTTTTGGGATGCAGTACACATTCTACTCCATAAACTGAGGTGGCATATTGGATTCGTGCTGCGGAAACAATGATTCGAGGGGAACACCTGATGTTCGCTCTTCCTGTGCTGGTTTGGTAGCAGCTGAGTGACCGTAGAAGAAGGAAATGTTGAGTGGCCTGTGTGGATTCAAGCAAAAATTGACTAGTTGACGCTGCGCATGGACCGCTTTACCTAGCACAGCATAGGCTTTGCCTCACCAATCCTTATTATGCAGGTCAAATACCCACAAAGTGGTCCCTCTATGATTTCAAAACGAGAGGAGGTAGACTATGTGACGTATCCCAAGATCCTGGCATCCACTCTTCGATTTTTGTTCTTGCTTTTTCTGTCATTATTATATAGCGAATGCGTACACGTTCCAGAAAATGAAGCTTCTCATCTTGGCATTATTGGTCATGTTGATGGTGGAATGCTTGGGTAAGGAACAGAAGAGCAAGGACAGCAAGAAAGTGGACTCTACAAAAAAGGATGGTCCAGGTAAAGACGCAAAAAAGACAGATTCCGCCATTAAGGACGACAAAAGCAAAGATACGAAAAAACCTTCGAAGGAGAAGAAAAGGAAGGGAAAGCACTTCTGGTTCGACGGCAAAGATCAGTGGGGGAAGCAACAGCTGGATTTATGCTTCAAGCAAACTCAACTACCAAACGGTAAGACGTTTTCTGTAGAGCTCGTAATCAGAAGCTAAAAAAGCCAAAATGAATGAAAATTGGTTGAACATGGAGACAACTTACAGATTACTTCTGCTACATGTACTACCGCAACTACGAACCGGTATATATCGATCCAGTAGCGCTACATCCAATTATCTTTATCTATAGGAAATTCATACCACGAAAGTTCATTGACGAATTCCTGCACGATCTTGATCAGAGGCAAAATACAATAAGGAGGTGAGATGAAATTTTAAATTCCAACGCGAAACGATTCACTAGCTATGAGAAAATGATCTGAAAGAGTAAGGTCAAATGTACTGTTTGAAATGCCCAGTTTGGCTAGATAGCGTATCGTATAACTGACTGACTTCCCTGCTTGGGAGAGCATTCTTTGGTAGCAAAAATCGGTGGAGCTGTTCCCCGAGGTGGTTGTAGTTCAGGCCAGCGAGAGGGTGGTATTTGGTGGGGGTCGCAATTGCTTTTGAGAAGAAAGTTTCTGGGTTTGGCTTTCACAGGCTTTCCCCTGTCTTCAGAGCTCTGGTCACCTCTCTTCCTCCTGCTCGACGGCAGTTTTTGGGAGAAGATGGGAAATTTTCGGAAATAATAAGGAAAGTGGTAGGAAGTTGGAATAGGGGCGGGTCGTAAGGGGAGAATTTTCTGAGGGGGAGGATCGTATTCTGCAAAATACGTGCCCCTGTTTAGGGCACGCGGGGTGCGGCATCACATACAAACCAGGATCCCTAGCTAGTCAACTCGACGGGGCATTTTGGCGTCACATCGTATGGCGTAATCACCTTGGCATGAAGAGGCTGTGTCGAGCAGGGCACTTCCTATGTTGAGGCGTCGCCACCGGGAGGGGGTCGCATTTGGTTGCTGGACGGAGGTAGGGGGTCGTTTTGGTCTCGGAAAATTTTTTTGATAGTTGATTATTCTTGTTTCACGAGAGTTCTTCACATCGTCGGGGAATTCTAAAAGGGGTGAGTCGTATTTGTTCTCGTTTTTGAGAGAGAGGGGTCGCACTTGCCATGTAAAAGAAATTAGGAAATTAGCCACGTTGCCAGCTGATTCTCCCTCCTCCCCTCTCTTTCTCGACGGCGAAATTTAGGGGAGAAACTGGAAAACTTCTGGGAGCGCGATTTCGTGCCTCGGGTATGACGATTTCACCCCAGCACACTCATACGAATAGGGCAAGCTGGCATCGAAAAGCGGCTTCATTTCCAGCATCTGTGATTGTATGAGATACCTAGGCTTACCACTAGGAAGGTGCGTCATGAGGCCATCATATGTGATGAATTGTTTGACTCCCTGACGTGGACCTCCGGGCCGAGTTCGCAACGTGTACTGATTAACTATAGCCCTCTTGAATTTTTCATAATTTGTTGATTAGTTGATCGGGCCATTTTACTGATGGATTATTTTTCTAGAAAGGTATCGACGAAGAAGGGTTTATGAAGAATTACTTGAAAACCTATAAAAGACGAAAGGCTAACACGACTACTATTCCACACAAATTCGGCAAAGGTGTTGCCAGAATATTCCGTCGGGCACAGGCTCTCATTCCAATGCTCAATTTCAGTCTTAGTGGACCGTGGGAAGTAGGTTGACTTCTTGATTCTTTCCTCATGAAGGTAAATTAAAAGGTTTGTATTTGTTTAGGTGACTTCCTTATAGAAAAGGAGGGCATCATGCAGCTCACTACGACTATCATCACCTACTCTTCGCCAGATCAATATAGCAAAAAAACTCGAGAATACGGAAATCGTTTTGTGACATTCGCCCTCACGCTAAAGGCCGCCACGTGGGGAGGAGGTATGTCAGGCCCATAACAATACTGCAATGAGTATGTATGAAGGACGGTTTTGGGCAGAGAGAGTCTTCGACAGCAGTGCACATATAGGGCCAAAGGTGTACTCCTAATTATGGAGCCGCGAGCACAATAACAACTACGGGGGTTTAAACAGAGATGATGCAGGCACTTGCAATCCACATACCGGAGATGGAGAGGGCGTGGTTGCCCACATCATTTGAACATGAGGTGGGATTTTCACTTCGGGATATTTCCGTTTGAGACAACTGGTACTCTGTTTTGTGTTGGACGAGACGTGACCGCATTCGTCTACCTTAGAACGGAAATATACCATGAAAGGTCGCAGCTCCGCTCATCTTAAGTACAGGACTGCGCCCTGCACCTCTCCTTGGCAAGTAGGATATGCATAATACGGGACGCGTAAGCGTCGTATGCAGGACAGTTGTGTTCTCTGATATGAACTGTAAGCGGCGCGGCTTTCACACCGTCGTGAGATTATCGTCAACTCCTACAACGAATCCGCTCAGACCAACGAGGCCTTCCATCTCTCTACAGCGCACCTACCATGGAGCTTCTTCATCGGTTGGCTCTGAATTAACCCTTTCCAATGCGGAATATATCTCGCATCCTCGCACTCCTTGTACTTGCAGAAGGTGCCACGTCTGCGCACTAGAGGTTTCACGCTCTCTAAGCAGAATAGTAGTTGTTTGGCTCTGGTCTGAAAAACTCACCAGTGTACCTCCGACTTGGTCGTAGAACTCCACGTAAGGTGAATAGCGGTAGCAGCGTTCACCTTCCTGCGGTGACCTGCGGATCAAATCCCGCTGAAGGGATGTGCACGGTACAAGCACTATGGGCACTGCTAACCATGAGATACCAAACCCAGTTACTCTGCTCATTTAGTGTTGTTTGAGTCGACCGATACTGTGGATTACATTTGCAGAATATTTTTCAACGATCAAGGCTTTGCTATGTGAAGCCAAAAGTGTGTACCCTAACCAATGGCGGGTGTACTTCTGCGGATCCAAGTCGCGGTGTCGCGCATGAGCTAGCGAGCATTTCCCTTTCAATTAACTCCTGATTCCCGTTTGGGAGGCAAGTTGGTACGTAGCTGTAGTAGCGTCCCACTTTTTTGCTCAAGGTGCACGAGAACGGAGCTGGAGAGTAGAGAAACTCGGATGCAGTCTCAACACTCCCACTTCCACGCCGCCACACGGCCAGTCACACGCCTAACCGGGTATCTGGCAAGAGAATCGTAATTGGCCGCGTCAGTGGCGTCGCGTGCGACGTCGCACCCGCTAATGACGACGATTTTAGGTGGTATTGGTCGAGAATAGACAATGTATGACCAAAAATAGACATAAATGTCCACCATGTCCTTGCCTACATGAAATCCGATGCTCCATCGAAAGGGTAGTACAAATTAAGGAAACGTCGCGCCCATTGCCGCGCGCGGTAAAGCGGCACTTCACGATTCTTTTGCCCGTCTCCCCGCCTAACCACAGCCGAGCCGAGTGCTGCTTGCCTGCGCCTTCTCAGTTCTGCTTGTTCTCTACATCTGTTGCGTATTTGCTGAGAAACTTCGGTATCGACACAAGTGCTGCACTTTGAGGATAGAACGGGCGTTGAGGATAGAGCGGCGGAGTCGATAGTAGACATCCGGTCTTCAATACTCCCCGGACCCTCGTTTCACTTTTAAACGGAGAAGGGGTTACGGTACTGCCGCTGCGGACCCACCCCCTCGCGGCAAAGACCAGGGTCCATGTCGGTGTACAGCTTTTTTGAGTCACTTGGGTTTTGGTACGAATTACAACACGTAACAGCGTTCGCAGCGCCACTTTTCCACCCTTGCAACAACTCGGAGGTGTTAAAGTACATCCTACACTAGTGCGGTCTGTATGAACTTGCAGAGGCCAGCCAATGAATGAGTCGGCGTTTGTATGGTCCCGACGAGTGGTACCGATCAACGATCCTGCCCACCTACTGTGCGTTATGGCACTACATTCCGAGATTTCACCCTAGCCCACAGACCAAATAAACCCTTGAGTGCCAGTTGTACATTTGATGGAAATCGAATGCAAAATGAAGTCGCAAACTTATCTGTGATCAGACTATGAGTTTGCTATAATTCAGAAACCACATTTGTCTTCCTAAATCACACGGTGTCCTTGTCACCTGGAGACGTTCTTCTATTCACGAACATGAGGAAGGATATGACTCCGGTGAGTGCACAGCTATGTTGAGTAATTAAAAAATTAGAATAGGTTTCCAACGACAAGGATGTGAGGGGTTGCTTACATTTGAACTAGTCAGTGTGAAAGGGGGAAAGGGTGGGTGCCGCTGAGATATTCGCGGAAGACTACTTAATTTAGCCGCGCGGAATTGTGGGCAAGCTTCCAGGAGCAGTCTGTGTATAGGCAACCAGCCACTGAGCCTCTAGGTGACTGATTGTTCCAGCAGTGCGAGGAGGCAGTTTTCGTTTTTTTCTTGGAATCGAGAACTCCTCTCGCACTGTATCATACCTTCAACTCATTGGGAGTATAGTTTGTAGTGATGTCGTATGGTGCATTCGCCACCCAGTATAGCGCGCTGAGCATACTAAATGCATTATAGTATAGTGAAAAGCAGTATACCATGCAGTACGGTACATTTATGGTCGCGTACGGTTCAGCATAGTATAGTAGATATGGTATAGTATATAATGCAGTACAGTGCAGCATAGTTCGTAATATCGCACTCCGTCGGGGCGGTGCGAGGAGGGCGGGATGAGCGTGCATGCGGCTGCTTCGTTCAACCAATAGTGATCGGCTAGTGATCGATTTAGGAAAATAACTACCAGTGGCGGGAAGGTCGCAGGTGGAGTCAATCCATCCCACTTGAAAACAACCCGGCCCGTTTCGATAGTACCAACTGTGGATTATGGTACAGTACAGCTCAGTATAGTGCAGAATAACGCAGCTTGAGATAGTGTAGTTTAGTGTAATTCAGTAGAGTCCTGTGTAGTATGGTACAGTGGAGTATAGTGTACCGGTATAGTAGGGTAGTAGGGTACTCGGTATAATACAGTCTCACTATAATGTATGCTAGTATGTTTATCTCACTGTAATGCATGCTAGTACACTTATGTATTACCAGTCTGGCTGACGCGCATTACCGCGCGCACGTCAAACCTATGGTACTGATAGCTGACAGGATTTCTGTGCTGAGCATTAACAAAACGTGATTCCCATGTTTCGAAAACGGCCCATTTCGTCACGTTTCTCCCTTTTAATGAGCATTTGCCGATGTTTGGTGCTTATCATATTTCTAAAAGCACCATTCATTCCATTCGTTCAAATTAGGACAGCATAGCGGTTGGAAGAATTTCGATGGGAAAAATATCGAAATCATGAGGTTCTTATCATTCCTCACTGGCTAACAACTCCAGACATCCTCTTTCCGGTGGAACTTGAGCGCTTAGCGGTGGGGTGGAAGCGAATGCGACCGCTAAAACCATAAGAGTGGATTTGCCAGGAAAGAAAATATCTTCGACTTCACTAGCCTTCGTCGATGATGTCGGCCACGGTGATGTGAGCATATACTGACTCCCAAAAGCCCTGACAGCGTCAGAATTTATCTCCCACCTTTAATGTTCCATGAGCACCTTTGACTTACTTTCTAGAGAAGTTCCCTTCTCTAGAAAGTAAGTCAGAGTGTGGCTACAACTCCGCTGTGCATTTCCGGGGCTATCTTATCAGCTGTCATGCACGTTCTGCCACCCACCAATAATGTTCCCATCCTGCCACCTATCTTACTGCTTGGAACCAACGTCCCATCGTCGCTGTGACGGGTGCTACGAACTTGGCGACCGTTCCCTTCTTGGCTCCTGCTGTTATCTTATCAGCTGCTATCACGTCCTGCCACCCACCGATAATGTTCCCATCCTGTCTTCTATATCACTTCTTGGAACCAAAGTCCTACCGTCGCTGTGAAGCACGTTATGGACTTTGTGCCCCTCCCCTTCTAAAGCTCCTTACGCTATCTTATCAGCTGTTATCACGTCTGGCCGCCCACCAATAATGTTCCCATCCTGCCCCCTATCTTACTTCTTGGAACCAACGTCCCGTCGCTGCTGTGGCCGGCGCTATGAATTTAGTGGCCCTTCCCTTCTAAGGCTCCTTATGTTATCTTATCAGCCGTTATCACTTCCTGCCACCCGCCAATGATGTTCCCATAATCCTACTTCTTGGAACCAAACGTACTAGCGCCCCCCCCCCATTCGCTGTGACGCGCGTTATGGAGATGGTGATTCTTCCCTTCTAAGGCTCCTCATGTTATCTTATCAGCTCTTATCACTTCCTGCCACCCACCAATAATGTTCCTGCCCGACCCCCTACATCATCTATGCAGTCTGGAGCATTATTCACTGTTTTGGAGGCGAGTACTTATGAATTTCCGCCGTCAAACACACACAGCAGTCACAGACATTCACACACACAGCAACAGACAAACTTTAGCAGCGGATTATATATAGTAGATGGAGGGAGTTATGAATTTCCGGCAAACACACACACACAGACAGACATTCACGCACACCACAACAGACAAACTTTAGCGGATTATAAGTATAGTAGGATGGACGGGAGTTATGAATTTCCGGTCAAAACACACACACACAGACAGACATTCACGCCACACACCAACAGACAACTCTAGCGGATTATATATAGTGGTAGGATGGATGCGCGATTTATGAATTTCCTGTGTCAAACACACACATCACGAGAGAGACATTCACACACACCAACCACACCACAAAACACAACACACACAAACAGACAAACTTAGCGCGATTATATATAGTAGGGTACTCCAGTAAACTGCTTTATACTGTGGGTGTGTGACGCTAGAAGCATGCGGCGTCACGCGCAATATAATGCGAATACCGTATGCGCACAATCAACGAGGGGGTGGCGGATCTTGCCTACGATGATTTCTGTCATTGGGACAGTGATAGAGCCATCACTACCGATCGCTGGA